TCATTTTCCAACTTCATAAATAAATAAATAAATAAATAAAAATGAAAAAATGACCTTGACAAATGGAGCTGTTCTGTGCCCGGGTTTTTGTCCGGATGGGTTTCCAAAATGCGCTTACGATATGACTTCTTGATATCAAGGAGCGTTGCGCCTTTAGACACTTTCAGAACTCGATAGCAATCGATTTCTTCTGGTTCTTTCATCTTTGGTCTGCGGTAGTGGCCGAGGAGGGACCAGTGAGGCGGGAAGATAAAACAAAACAAAACAAAACAGATGGATGGGTATACAAAATAAATGAAATAAATGAAAATGCCGTTTTTCAAGATGGAAGATATTTATTTTCATGAGCTTGAACAAAATTGGTGCGACAAAGCATTTTTCCTTCAGAATGGAGAAAGGAATCGTGATCTTTTATCAACCCCCACGCTCTCCCTCTCCCTCTCTCTCTCTCTGAATTTTGAGGTGAGTGAGCGAGCCTTGCCGAGTCTTGAGGTAGCCCATCGAGGCATACCAGCTAGTTGGCTGTGCCTCCCTTAGCCGCCCATCGTCAGCTAGCTTACATGCAATCTCTGCATATATCTTCTCAATCCTGTGACAACGGATGTTTTATATATATATCCGCCATGTACGCTGTAGGGGCCCCATTGTGAACGGGTGTTCCGCCTTGTGCGAGGCGCCTCATATCCTTGCCTGCTGATACTGAATTGGAAATAGTAGACGAGGCCGGCGCTTGGCAAAATTGCGTTGAATGGCAGCGTGATGACGAGCGTGTTGGATGCAGAGTATAGATTGATTATATAGGAATATACATAGTTATATCTCTATCTATATAATGTAGCCAGATATGTATGGGCCTTCAGATATTGATTGCCGTTTTTCAATTTGTTGTGGGGCGAGATGTAAATAACTTGTTCTGTGTGTGCTATTTGAGAAACAATTATCTGCACATCTTATCTTATTGCACCTGTTGGTAAGCTATAATTAGGAACTAACTAGTTATAACTAACTAGTTACGTTTGGAATAATATCAGATTGAAATCCTCCCCTCAAAATGATGGTTACTCATAAAAACGGCAGGCTCCCCAGTTGTATGAGGTTGAATGTGTAGTTACAGCGTAGTTTATTAATTCCTATTAATTCCCCGCAGAGTGCGTCCCTTCTTTATTTCCTTTTTCCTTTCTCTTTTCCTCTTTTTTATCTAGGATCAAAATTAAATAAACATCAAAAATTTTCCTTTAACTAGCTTCAAAAAAAAAAAAGGAACTGGCCCTTGTTGACCGGCACGGGGCCCAGCCGGCTACTCCCACCTGCGCCTTGCATGCGGGGGGAATTACATCGCAACTACTAGAACCGGCTCTGCAACGATGAGGAACCATGCGGTTTCTTTTCTTGATATCTTGATAAAGCGCCAATGACGACGGGGGAGTGAAATAAGGGGATGGGCATGGCTTTGGAGTAGTAGTAGTAGTAGTAGTAGTAGTAGTAATAGTATGTATCTATGTATGTATTTTATGTATGAAAGGATAGATAACAGAGGAAGAAAAAAAACAGGTAACTCTATGCTGGCGAGCACGCTTACGTTGTGGTGGGTGTTTAGCTTTAAAAAAACAAAAGAAAATAAAAGAAAATAAAGACAGAGAGAAGGAAAGAAAGGGGGAAAGAAGGAAAGAAAAACAGAGAAAAAGAAAAAGAGGAGCGACACCTACCATAACACATTGAAAAATGGAATAAACATAAAATAGCAGCATCCCACATCATCATCAAACGCCATACCAACATTTCAAACTCCCGCCCCCCCCATTCCAAACATCTCGCCATTAATCCACCTCACCTTTTCCATCTCCTCCTCCTCCCCCCAAGCCACTACCACTACCCACAACAAGTAAGTGCCTCACACCCATTCTTGCAAACAATCTTACATGTCGACCCACGTCTCCTCCTTCTCATGCACACCCCTCTAGCCACGGCCGTGTCCTCCTCCAAAGAACCAGTCACGCTGGCGGAGGTTCCAGGGGAGGAGGCCAGTTCGGGCTGCAGCGTGATGGAATGGATGCCGTAGGCGTGCAGGCACTCGCCGATGCACTGGGCGCGGGCCATGAAGCCGGCCAAGGACGTGTCGGAGGTAACGACGTGGGCGGTAGCGATGGCTTTGTTTTGGTTGAGGCGCCAGGCGTGGAGTTCGTGGACGGAGATGACTCCAGGGATCTAGTACGGAGGGGTGCGTGAGGGGTTTTTATTAGATAAAGTTCTTATCGCCTCTTTTTATTCCTTTACGGAGGGGGGGGGTTGGGATGGA